TTAAAAAAAAAAAAAAAAAAAAAACTTTCTTTTGTGCTCTGGAGACTCGTAAGAGGAGTGAGGGAAATCCATTTATTTTATAGAAATAATACACTGTGACAATCATCCTTCTGCCCTCCCCATATGGCCCTATCTATCTCAGTTCTATGAATAAGATTTTTCCTGTAGAGTAATTCAAGCAAACTGTTAATTTCTTCCATTTCCTGGTCTTATTTTCTAGCTGGAGATGCTGGAAATGGATCAAAGGCTTCACCATGAACTAATTATCATACTTTCACATAAGATATTCTCTTCTTTGTTTTTTATAACGGTGGTATGAGGCAGCTTACACGCACCTCGACTATTCCACCGTATACATGCTACCTCCCACCAGCACAAGCACCAGGTAATTCTGCCCACTAAGGCTTAGGCATATGTGAATAGTAGCTTATGCTTTCATATTCTTTTGTTTTCCTAATATGGAAAAACATGAAGAAATTGCTTACTCTAATCTGTTAAAGCCAAAAAATGCTAGTTCAAATGGAACCTATAAAGTGCGGTTAAGACAAATCGTGTCACCTCATTTCCATTGTACAATTCAACAAAACAACATATTGCACATATCAGATCAATCAATCAATTCAATTACATTATAAACAACACATGCTATACATAACATATCCACAGTCAACTGATAATCAGTAGTAGTTTGACTGAGATTGACTTACACGAAAATACTCCATAGTATTATGGAAGCAAAGAGGAATCCAAATAGAAACTTCGCCGGTGAAGCATCCATTTCGCCGCGGCCGGCGGCAATCCCAATCGCGTGGATCCTCTTAAATTTCGCGTCTCACTGTTCTATCATTGCTTAAATAATTGAATTACTCGACGAAAATACAGTTTTACATGATGTTCATGGTGTGGAAGTGAAGATCAAATGGTGAAATTTGAAAGAGAAGATTTGAATAGAAGAAAGAGGTGAAAATGGTCAATAAGTTGAAACGAAGTGAATGGGTTGGATCAGGGGAATAATAAGATATTTGAGTTGAAGGAATTAAGAGGAGAAATCGGGAGAAAGTGGTGTATCACTCTTTCTGTGTTTTACTCCGATAAGCGGAGAAGACTATTGAGTTGGATCTGGTGCGGTTGGATGTACGGGGAACCTTTGTGATTTTATTTTTTCCTTTATTTTCTTTTTAATTAATTATTTTATTGGTTTTCTTTGATGGACGTGCATGAAATGTCTTTGTTCTGTGTTAATTGACTAACCTAACCCTTTTGGGATTTGAGCTCGTCCTTAATTCAATAATGCTGGATTTTCTAGCTTTCAAATGATAGGAAATTGTAAACTTGGAAAGGAAAAAATAAAAAAGAGAAAGTTTGATGGAAACATTTGAAACTTTTAATGGATGCATGTATCTATTAGGGTGAAATAAAGGTGACAAAGGGGGTGGGGCGGGCCGGGTTGAGAAAAATAGTGATTGGCCGATCATCAATCCAGGCTGATTACCGGGTTTTACAAACCAGGCTTAACGGGTCCGGACCTATCCGGTGAAAAATTGAACCGGAACGGTTCCGGACCTAAAGGGGCGGGGCGGGTTTATGTTGTTTTTTTTATTTATTTTATATAACTATCGTAATTTATATTAATATAAAATAAAAATATAAAACAAAAAACAATCTTATAAAAAGAGTGTTTGAATAAAAGATTCAAATTAAAATTCTAATATTTGAATATTTCATTAAGAATTTAAGATAATAGAATATAATGAAGATGGAAAAAAATTGCACTTATAATTCTTATTTCAAACTTGCAAATTAAAGTTTACATTTAACAACAACTAAATTAACGAAAAAAGAGTAAATTCAAAGTTTAATTATTAAGTATAAATCTAGAACTTCAAAGGTGACCGTCAAATGAATTTAAAAAAAATAAAAATTAAAAAATAGTTGTTGAATCGGGCCGTGTCGGGCCAATTAATCAGTTCAACAGTACTTTTTATTGACCGGGTTTGACCGGTCCGATTAACCGATAAAATATATATATACGGACCAACCCCCTAACCCTCCAAACCTAACCCTACCCGCCCCCTTCCACCGGACCGGGGCGGTTCGGTTTACTACCGGTTTGGGCCAATCCGAAACGGGGTCAACCCGGCCCGTTAAACAGTTTTAGGGTGAAATGTGAAATACAAATTTTCTTTTACTTTATTTTTTTATAACATGTACATCAGGGCGTATGTTTCAAATATTAATTATAAAAAACTTATCATAATTCAATAATTTTCATAGCTCAATCATTGAAATTGTTACTAACAATAAAAATACCACTTCCATGATAAATTGATCTTTGTTTGAAAAAATGTTTTGATAGTAGAATCAATTTTTTTATCATGCTATGTCAAAATTATATACAAGACATTTAAAATATTCTAGAGAATATAAACTTTATTTAGGAAATACGAGTTTCTTCTTCCTTTTAAAATAATTGTTGTGTTGATCTTAAGCATACTCAAAAAGTAAAAAACTTTTATTTTTCTACAATATATTTGAAGTAATTATCCTTAAGGAAGCCTATTAAATAGATTTGTTGTCGAGCTAGCTCATGTTTTTTATAACAAATATATTCAATATTCATTGGATTCAAGTAAATTGTATTAAAAATAAAGTTTCTAATACATTAATAATAAATGAAATATCAAATCACATTTGATTTAGAATTTAAAATCTTTTACCTAAATTATATTTAACTTTTGAGGTTGGTTGAATTTTTAAAAGATTACAATAAGACATTAGGGACTATAAAAGATAAAAATAACACTCGTAGGCGCTTGTACCGTGCATATTTAAAATATATACAATTCTTATAAATTATTTAGAATTTAGTTATTCTTTGACAAACTTTAAACTTCATATGTTCTTTTTTTTTTTAGACTTTCAGACATTGGGTAGAAAGCTGCGTTATGTCAAAACCTAACTTCATATATTTTAAAAGTCATAATTGAAATACAAACTTTCGGATCTGAAGTTGAGCTATGCTAAGCCTAACTTCAGACTGCATATATAAAATTAGGATTGGACAAAGTTAAAACTCAAACCCATAGATCTCACTATGGGTGTTTACCGAACGAGTTGGACCGGACTGGTCAGGAAAAAAAATAGCCCGTCTGATTAGTGGAGCGGGCTGATTGGTGGGCGGGCATATCGGGCTGTTAGTGGGCGGGGTAATTTCGGGTTCTAGTGGGCATGTCCGTGTTCGAGCCTATGCGGTTCGAACCGGGCTTTTTTTTAGTGTATTATGCTTTCTTGTTCAATGTAATGTGATTGATATTTAAGTGTTTGCAAACTTCTAAATAATAAAATAAGTATTTCAAGACAAAAAATTAATTTTTAAACTTTAAAGTGTTAAATTTGAAATTTGAAATTTAAAATTAAGTGGCTATATAAAATTATTTAATAAGACCAATATGTAAGTATCAAACTTCAAAGTCTTTTATTTCATGTTATTATTGCATAATAATACTTCAAATTATTTTTCAAGTTCTATTTTTTTATTTTTTTACCTTACAAATTAAAAGTTTAGTATTTACTACCGTTAAATGCCAATAAGAGCAAATTGTCTGATAAACTAGCATGTTAAGCTTAAATAAGTCTAATAAATTCAAAATAATACAAATTATCTCAAATCAACTTGAATACGAATTCCTGAAAGACGCTTAAGACAACCCTTGATATGCTTCCTTAAAACCATATGTGCCCTCCCACTTTCGATGAACATTAAAGACTCAACCACGGTTCTTGCACTCTACTTTGTGAACTTCTTCATTTTTTTCTATCATCTCAAAGTGTTCCCAAACATGTGAGCGCACTCTAGAAGCACGGGGCATGATTGAACTTAAACCTAATAAAAATGGTAACCACACTTCACTTGATAATTGTAATTTTATAGTGGCTACCGTAAATAATTAATAAAACTTGAAATAATAATTAATTGAGAACTTGAGAACAACAAGCAATTCAATAATCAAGAGGGAATCGAGAGAGAATTAGAGTATAAGAAGATAGCAAGTTATGAGAAAAAAATGAAGAAGAGGGGGTTATTTTTAGTTTTTAAAATACTAAAAATATAATTTATCAATTATTAGGGGTTGGGAGACTATTTTAGTAAGGGGTAGGCCGAAATGGCTAAAAGTTTAAAAAATGACCTTTGTCTAACGGTCATTTAATTTTGATCGTTGGCAATGGTCAGAATAAAAAAAATAAAATTGCAACGTAAACCTGGCTGGAACCCGGTTAAAACCCGTGCACAGGTTACCGGGCTAGCCAGTTTCCAGTACCAAAAAAAATCCACACCAGTCCGGAACAACCCTCATACCCTAGCCAAACCGTCCCATCCCTTACCGGACTGCCCCGGGATGAATCGGGTCAAACCGGGTTGTTAGTGAGCCGGCCCCCGCCCGACCAACACCTTTAGATCTTACATTAGAAACTTTAGACCATATATTTTCAACTTGATTTTGAGGTGATTAAACTTTAGAAAAATTATAAATGTTGGTAAATACGAACACTATTCCGTTCTCAGCGGAAAACTGCCTTAAAGATTGAATAGCAATAAAATAAATCAACATTCAATATAAGACAATGTTTATCACTGATAGCTTGTAGTGAACATTCCCATTATGAAACCAACCGAAAGCAACCTTTGGTACTTAAGTAGTTAATGTTTAGAACCCTTGCAACTATGATAGATAGTCATTTGCTTGTTGCCAAACCCTTTCGCTTTCTTATGAATTAAAGTAGGTTGCGATTGTTGTATTTTAGTCGGTCGGGGGGAAGCGGTACCTTTGTGCTCCGCTTCTCTCGCGCTTGCTTGCGTGAAGACTTAAAGCCCTTTTCGCTACCCGATCCCATTTCGACCTCGATATGTGAAATCGTCTTGCGACATATGTACTGGGATTGTTCGGGAGGCATGGATGCGACACAGTACAATACGAGATGACGGAATGCAATGTGATTGATGGTAGAGGGCTGCCTGTGCCCAAAAATAATGATTCACTTGTCCCCTTGTCCATAGGGACCTCGTGGCATACAACCGAAATGACTCCCGCTAGATAGCCGCCCCTTTCTCTCTTTTTACAGCCTCGTGGACGAACGAAAGAAGGGAAGTTACAGAACGGGGCAGTGAAGGCTCGCGAAGTAGACATCAAGCAATAAGACTATTATTTAAAGTGATTTTACACAAATAACCGACCATATTAATTATTTACCTTTTACAGCCATATACATAGATTATAAATTTATTATACATAATTATACATATGTAATATATAAATTATGCATATATTATATATTTATCAGCTATTTTTAGTTTAAATGGTAGGGTGAACGGCTATTTGGGTTAATTCTTTCTTATTTAAATATGGTTCCTTAAAATGGCTATTTGTGCACTTTGGCCCCATAAAAGGATGGACAAGCCCAATTTACATAGTCCCAATACAAACCTGCTTCGCCATCAAAAACCTGCTTTTAAGCTTCATCTCCTCCTAACGGAAACCGCCATTGTTACCAGCGGATTTTTCACAGCAATAGCGACAGTGAAATATGGCAGAGCCTAATACATCTCTTGAAACGAGTGAAAAAATAAGCAGGTGACTTTTTTTTTTGTTGTTGTTTTTGTTGGTATTTTAGGATTCTGGTAATAATGGAGCACATAATATTGAAATTTTTGAATGTGAATGAATACAGGCAAGCTCCTCAGTTAGTTACAGTATTAAAGGAGATGAAAGAAGGATTGGATACAGTGAGTTCAAAAGTACAAGCTTTAACTGCGAAGGTTGTTTTTTTTTATTTATAAAAAAAGTGTATATTCAATGCAATTACTGCTGTTTTTATGCCGATTTCTCATCTGGGTATGTTTTATTTTCTGTAATTTCATTCATATAGTTCAATCTTGATATTTTAGCTGGTGTTGTGATCATGGTGTCTATTGCTTTTGTGTTCCTTCATTTCTTTTTCTCGTAATTTTCAGGTTGGTTGTATTCTATTTCTTGAGGGGGTGTATTTTATTTTTCGGTTGAGAGCAGTGAGGATTCATATACAGAGGACCTTAACATGTTTGGGACTAAGGCGTAGTAGTAGGTGTTGTTGTTTGTGTTTTGGGTTCAAGTCTTCTGATTTTAGGAATTAAAGCTTTTGCTTTCTTTGTTTTTCCTCCTTTTTTCCCTTTCATTTTTATGCTCTTGGGGGTTGAGAGGTGAAATGGAGGAAATAGAAAAAGCTAACGAGGCTGCAGTTGAAACTTGTCATAGAATTATTAGTCTTTTATCTTAAGCCCCATGATCAGAATCAGTATGGGAATTTATTAGTTAGAAAAACTGGAGAAGCACAAGTTCAAGAATGTTTTCACTCTTTTGAATTCAACTTTAGGTCATGCAAAAGTGAGGAAAGTGAACAACTTTAAGACCCTTTACCTCATAACAGCATTGTGGAAAACCCAAGCTGCAAAATTGGTGATCAGCACAAAGCTCTTCGGTTACTTCCTATCGACTTCCTGTAAACCGAGTCCTAGAGATAGGTGCTAATGTGAAAAGCAATCTAACTTTGGGAAGCCCTTCACTAGAATTAAGCTCAAATAGTAGAGATCCCTCAAATCTAGTCCAACTAACGCCTTTGCCGAGCTATAACTATCTTCAGCAACAACAACAACAATGGTGGTTTCTTGTTATTCATGGATATAGTTGATTAAATATTGATAGATAATTCGTCAGAAAATAACAATTTATAGACTTAAAAAAAAGGGTAAGGTTACAGGCTGTTTTAGGGATGTGCTGAAATCATGTGAAATTACAAAAACTGTTGATTCTTTACCAACATTATAAGTATTGACGGACGGAGTTACCCAATATATGTGCCGAGATGCCTGCAAGTTGGCCCGGACACCATCGTTAGGAGAAAAAAATAATCTAAATGGGTTACCAAATAGTAATGTTTAATTAGTTATTGTCAATATACTTACATTCTTTTAGGAAAAGGTAAGTTTTATCGATGAAATCAGCACTAAATTGGTGCTGTAGATTACATCCGAAAAAATAGAAACCAAAACATAGCTCCCTTCTAATTGTGCAGAGAACTAATAAAGTCTACCAAAGTTTCAACATCACTTACTAGCTCTAAATTACACCAAAAAATGATCTGCAGCAGACATTAGCTTTTGTCTTCAAAATATGATTTCCTTTCTCTTCAAAGCAGCTTTGTATTATCTTCAAAATCAGCTAATAGCCTAATACACTTACATTTGGTTTATAATTTGTCTGGATTCTTTTTGTTCTTGCTATTGAGATTTGTATATAGTTAGGATAAGTGTGAAATTTTGATTACTTCTAGTTAGTTTACCTTATTTATTTTTTGAATGAAATGGACTTAGAGCCTGTTACACAACATTTTCCCGTTTAAGCAACTATATTTGTTTGATCCTCTAACTGTATGGACTGGCCACGTGATAGATGTTAGCACCGCTTATAAATGATCTTCCCAGTTAGTACTCATGTTGGTTTTATGTTACTTCTCGTCTATGTCTATTCATTCCAAACTGCCTGTATCAATAAACCAACTCTTTGCTATATTGCAATACTTGCTTGGTTTTCAAATGACATATAGCGCTCCTGTAACTAGGTCAACTAGGTCACAGATAATATTGAACTGCTGGGTACTCACTGATTAAAAAAAAAAATCAACCCCAAAAAACAAAGAAAATAAAATTGTGAACTGCTGGATCAATTTCCGTCGTATGCCTTGTATTTATTCTCGTGCTCTCTGTATAGGAAAGAAAATCACTATGTCAAATTGATATGCTTGTTTCTTCTTCCAAAATCCCCATGCAATTTGTCTTCAGGTGAAAGCGGGTCACTTTCCAACAGCAGAAGGAATAAGTTACCTTGAAACGAAGCATCTGCTACTTCTGAATTATTGCCAATCACTTGTCTATTATCTGCTCCGCAAGGCAAAAGGATTCTCAATTGAAGGGCATCCAGTTGTTCGGAGTCTAGTCGAGATAAGATTATTTTTGGAGAAGGTATGTTGAAGCTCTTCCCACTTTTGGGTAATCCTGTCTCTCCAGCTCCTCTTGGTACTTTTCTGCCCCTAATTGCAGTGTCCTTACCGTGATGCTCTGTGCAGATTCGCCCCATTGACAAGAAACTACAGTATCAAATTCAGAAGCTCACAAGAGATAGTGGCGCTGCTTCTGAGAAGTCAGTTTTAAGTGAGAAGGGAACAGATACCCAGAAGGAGGACCTGTTGAAGTATCGTCCAAATCCTGATTTGCTTGTTAGTAAAACACGTGGCACAGAGGTGGGTGATTGGTACTTGACCATGAATGACCATTTTAGTTCCTTTTTCCTCTTCCTGTTCAAAGAGTTGACTTGATCATTAGCAGTTCAAAAAGTTGAAGTTATGATTTTACTCTCTCAATCTCCCATATGATTTCCTAAAGTAAAAGAGATGGTTGAATGTTTCTTGTCTTGAGCTACAGGATGGCAGCAATGTATATCGACCCCCCAAACTTGTACCTGCTCCTATGGAAGAAGATAAAATGTCGAGGCAGGAGAGAAATAAATTGAGAAAGGAGACAATGGACTTGCGAAAGGCTAGACAAAACCCGTTTATGATAGATTTGGTGAATAATCTTGAAGGAAGACCCGAAGAGGTAATTCACTATCTGACTATTAATACTGATATATTTCAATGACCCCTCCTGTATTTTACTATTGCTTTCGGTGAAAAATACAGGTAAGGGAAGTTGTTGGAACTGAAAGTAGAGAACTCAGAGAGTACATGGCTAAAATGGAAGAACGTGCACGACAAGAAGAGGAGACATTTGCTCGTGCTCCACTCACAAAATTGGAAAAAAAGAAAATGAAACATCTGAAGAAGTCAAGAAATGGGTAAGTTTAGTAGGAACTGTATGGTCAGTCTTACTAATTAAAAAGAAAAAGCACTGTTTGGTCAGTCTTATGATCATTTCAGGTAGAAACTTAATGTATGCATAGTCTGGAGAGTGTCGGCAGATTAGGTGGAGCTCTGTTTTTTGTTAAATGGACTAAGTGGATGCTAATCTCTTCCCTTTAATTGTGCTAGGTTGCTTGGGCTGACAGATAGTTTCTATGACGAGATAAAAAGTTTGCCTTTAGGGGATGCTTCTGAACAATCAGCAAACTTTGATAACGGCAGCGCTGGAATCAAACAACAGAAGAAGCGTAAGGTAATTGTTTAGGGAGATTGGATATATCCTTGGTTTGTCAGTNGCAAACTTTGATAACGGCAGCGCTGGAATCAAACAACAGAAGAAGCGTAAGGTAATTGCTTAGGGAGATTGGATATATCTGGTTTGTCTGTCTTTCAGAATATGAAGTTTAGATCTGCTCGAGAGAGTTATATATGAATCCTCGCCGTTGCTGTGATGTAATTGCCCTAGACATATATAAATCTTGTGCATTCCCATTTAGGTTATGATCGAGCTAATGCCCGAAATGTTGATATTCTGGAATGGTTGCTTATTATCTTGTTTGTTACTCGGCTCAATAATTTAATTGGATGGAAATTGTTGGCCCCTGAGTTCTGTGGTTATTTTCAATGCTTCACAACCCTCCACTCTTCCCTGACTTTGTATGTATAGTGAACAACCTTGTGTCCTGAAGCAGTAAAATTGTTATAGTCGCGGTTAAAATGGAGCTTATTTGTCCATTTAATTTATAGTAGCTTATAATTTAATCTCTATCTTTTGTTTATGTACATGAGTTTATTTTGTGAGGGAAAACTTGCTGTAAATTAACTTCTAATATCTGTGTACTGCAGAGGAGGAATTGAACGACTGCAAGCTTGAGTACATCAATATCCAAGAATATAGAGACTTAGGTTGGAATGATCAGAAGTTCCTTGGCTCATGTAAGATGTACAACTTCATCATGATGTTAATTTTTGTGACTTTTATCGCGCCAAAATCTTGCACCATATTTGTTATTGTTGTCAGCAGTTAAAACTGAAGTTTCTGGCTGCAAGGCTGATGTGGTTTGGTTTGTAAGTTTCACTTTCGAGGTAAAATGAAGCCTCTTATGTTTAGTTGTATAATCCGTTCACAAAATCGAAAAGGAAATTGTAGTTCTTTATTAAGTAATTCTGATCGGTAGGGGAACCAACTCTTTCTTGAGATGTAGCTCTCCATTACAATGAGATTCAAGACCTCTGAATACAAGCTACTTCACTGGGGTCTGCATTACCGTGAGGGGTCGTTTGGTAGGAGGTATAAGAATAGTATTGAATATGGTGTATTAGTAATTGCCGGTATTAGTAATGCTGGGATTACTTGTGCTGAGATTATTTCTTATCTACAGTTTGGTTTGGTGTATTAAAGCATTGTATAATTTCTAAAAAAAATTGTTGTTTACAAAATTACCTTCAACATTCTTCAACTTTGTACACTATTTTTATAATTTCTAGGAGTTGTTTAGGCCCTTTTTTTTTTTTTTTTTAAATCATCTTTATTTTAACATTTACCGTTAGAGCTGCCATTTTTTGGCAATGATCATAAAAAAACTTAATTTGCACAAATGTCATATACAGTGGTAAATCTCATTTCCTTTCTCATCATCGTAAGTTAATCGAAGAACCCATGGTTTGTTTAATTGGGGTAATGGTTTAATATTGGACCTGTAAGAAGTTGCCACATGTAATTTAAATAAAAAAAATTCTTTGGTGTTGACTGTTAGTTGGGCATAAGTGAGCCAGAAAGATAACAATGAGAACATTTTTTGCTCAATAGGTGGACAAAGGGCATATTTGTGCCAAATCGAATAGTCTAAGGGCAATTTTGGCTCTTTTTCGTTTTGATTATAGTAGAATGTTAAATGAAAAAAATTAATTAAAATATCACAATATTAAAATATATAAAATATGGCGAAAAGTTTTCGGAATAGGTTTTGAGGGATTTGAGGGCAATTATATCCTTAACCATGTTTATGTAAGTATTAAAATTTCATACATTGCTAATACCATGGTTTGCTATGTATTAGTTATACATATGATAGTATCAAATTATTAGTTATACATAGGTTAAAAAAATGTACGACACAAGGGATTAGTAATGCATAAAGCTAATGCTTGCATCGTTTTTTCTAATACTTCCTACCAAACGATCCCTAAGTTCTGTATGTTTTTAAGGTCATGGAGATGGGTCATTGCGATGGTGGATTTTTGTTAAATATGGGATTATATTTGATAAGTATGGTAATGGTAGGAGTATTTTTCGTTTGCAAAGTATAATGTATGGCAGATGTAGATAATATTTAAAAGTAGAGGAGTAAAATCTCACACATTTCCAAATACCCTTTTCCCATTGGGAAATGCTAGTGTTTTCTGTGCTCATACAATTGCACCTTGTGTTTCGATTACAAGAAACATTTTAAAAGCAGCAATGGAAAGTCATGCATTGCTTAAATGATAAATCCACAGTTTTCCTGTAATAATCAGCGAATTTGGTATGATTATTGAAACGGGAAAAAATGGTAAGCTAGAAATACCAAAAACAAAAGTGCGCACGCATCTCATTATCTCCAGACTCCAGAGGCATGTTTAAAAATTAAAATAATCCTATTGAGGTTTTAAATAATCATGAATTTTATGAGCAGTATTTATTTTTTAACGGGCAGCTGCAAACTATATTTCGTACTCTTCAATAAACAGGAAACACTGAGGGCTGCTTATCAAGTCGCTAATTTTTGCGCTCACATTTACCCTTCTCTGTTGTTACAATTTATACATATTGCTTTTCCATTGAGAGGAGTTTTGGAGCGAGAGCAACACAGAGACATTCAAAATGGAACAGCTAATGAAAGTGAGTTTGATTAAATTCAATATCCATGAATCGAGAAGAGAATTGGGGTCTATTCTTTTTCTTTTTTTTGGGTGGTNAGTTTGTGATTGGTATTGCTCATACCCCAAGTTAAAAGGCTGCGTAAACTGTTCATCACACAGGATACTGGAAAGTTAACATAATGACAGGTCGACATAGCATTCGCAGATAAATGACATTACGTAACTTGTTTCACCATTTGCTGAAGACTTCACTGGAATAACAGAAAAGGAAAAGCTGGCAATAGATAACTCGCTTCGCTACTTGACAGCCTAAATTTCTCTCTTTTTTTTGCAATCGAAATAATTACTTCGAATAAAATTTATTTCTGGAATCTTGTGCCTACCCAAAAAAAAAGGAAAAGAAAGGGAATGCACAAATGTCTCTTCTGCGGGCAAACCTAAGCAAAAAGATCTAGCAATTAAATTTCTTTAATCCGCCGTAGTCATTTCATAGCAAGAGTCCTTTGGTATTGTGATCCACTTGTAATGTAAGACACTCTAACAGTGCAAGTACAATCCAGAATACGTCAATGCTTGTGGTGATTAACTATACCTTAGCATGTGATGACATCCAGTAGTAGGATTAGTCAATTAACCATGACATTGTTAAATCCATTTTGCTGGTAGGCCGCACCGTTTGACCAGGGAACAATGCATCTTAGAAGATGGAGATTATACCCTTGTGGATCGATGACTTTCCAAGATGATGACTATTAAATCCAGAATCTTGATAGAAGGACATCAGTTGCAATGATTTGAACGAGTCACAATTCTTTGTCCTGCTTCTGAGCCCGTGGTATGTTATACATGATAAGACCAATGAGAAGGACAGCACTGCCGAGAAGGAAATAGGGGCTCAAAACTGAACCTTCTGGGAGATATGGCAGCGGTACGGAGAGAAGATACATTGATAAAGGCACTACAAAAGCAGAGAGGAAAAAAGATGTAGTTGGTCATAGGACTGCAAAAAAATTAAATATAACCAACACCTCTAAGTATTGTGTTCGGAGCGTCTGTGAGAGAGGGAGAGAGAACCTGATGACATCACAACAAGGGATGAAATCACAGCAGTCGAGATTTTCACAAGATTGAGAATTGATATGTTGAAAGCAATATTTGTAAATATGTAAAGAAGGGGTAGCAACGGCGCCCCATCACAACCTGACCAATATAAGTGCCAAAAGGACAGTTAGTAAGCCTCATCAATCCATGATTTAGGGAAAAAATGCTTCTAACTTGATAATTCTTTTATGGAGAAAAAAATCACGTGTTCATATCTACTATGGGAAAAAACTTGACATGAACAATATGCTTTGAAGATTGAACTTCTTTTATAGAGAACTAGGTTTTGATGTAGGTTCTCTATTTTTTTGGTATACGGCTTTTGTATACGGGGTTTCACCATTTTTTATAAAATTATTTACCTTATTAAAAAATGTAACATTATGCCAGCAGTAAATGGCCAATTCGAGCAACTACCAGAAATTTGTGCTGTCATTCTTCTTCATGTTTTCACTGATAAAGTATAGCTATGGACTGAATCCTAAGAGACATGTACTAATATGCAAACAACTAGGCACACAACTAGCTTATATTTCCAGAATACCTTATGATAGCAAGATTTCAGTAATACAATTCACGTCGAGTCGCAACCGACATTAAGTTTTTAAATCCAGTTTCTGTGCTTGGTTTTTATTATTCCAGTACCCCAAGTTTTATGTATATTTTCACAATGTAAGAGCAATCTACTAACAACTAACAAGTAGATAAATCCATACTACCCAAAATATCTCCACCCTTGTTTCCGATGGGTGCACTTATAACCTTGAAATCTCGATGTGATTGACTAAGGAAAGTGGGTGCCTATAGTAAGCAACATTTCCTGCCAAAATATTCTAGGTTCAAGTCTTTTCCTTCCTGCCAGCTTCCCCAAAAAAGAAAATTAAGGTCCTCATCAAACTCTGAACTCAGCAGGATTGCAGAGGTCACATCTGGGGCTAACCTGTTAAAACTGCTATCTACAGGGGAGACACGGGGAGCTTCTCGTATTGTGCGTAAAACATGCGGAGATTAAAAGCAAATATGTTAACTGTAGAAGATCATGACCTTCGCGAACTCGCTTTACAAATCCTGAAATGATGCCATTGTCCTTTTATGCAAGCCACATATAGGTCCAAGAGAACAGAGATTGTACCTGAAATATTGTTCCCTATGTTGAAGAAGCAACCAGCACCGCTCTTAAGAAATGAAGGGAGCTCAGAAAATGGTATCCCCTTCAAGTTTGAAAGAAAAGGCAGAAAAAGGAGAACAAAAAGAGCCTACAAATAAAACACATATTACGAAAAGAAACATTCAGAATACAGCATTGCTGAACAGTCAACAGATCAACTCACTCTCTGATATATGTGTGTGAGTGTCTAATATATATGTATATAAGAAGCAATTCTCTACTAACATATCCATTGTCTATAAGTGCAATGTCATTTTAATACCTATAATTGATTCTGCAATAACACTTCAGCAACAGCATAAATTGCAATTGAAGAGCATAAAGGGTTAGAGTGGCTCGTAAGTCCATGAAAAACATCTCAGGATCCAGTCAAAACTAAAAAGAGATTTTGCATATTGTACTGCAATCTTTCAAACATTTCTTCTCTCTATCATTAAAACCGTTAGCCATGAGCTCTTGCATAGCTGCAAATGAAACTTCAGCGAAAGAACTAGATTTCATGTTCAATACAATGCCTGGGCAAAAAGTATTCTTTATCTTCCAGTTGACTGCTGGAATTGAAGAAATGGTGCTGAATCTGATTACTATTATGTCATACAAAAGCCAGCAGTTGGTATTTAGTTCCACTTGACTTCTGGAATTGAAGAAATGGGGCTGAATGTGAATACTACCAAGTCAACAGAAGAGCCACTAATTGGTATTTGGTTAAGGCTAATTAAATCAGTATATATGTAAGCATTCAACTCTAAACTCTAAAGTAAATAACCCTGAAGAATTGTCAGAACGAAAAGTTAGTGTATCAAAATTTCTCTTACTCATACAATTACCTGGAATGCAGATCCAAAAGAATTGACGACAAAAATATCAAGAACCTTCCCCTGTATAATTTGTAAGATTTATCAGGACTGTGCATTATACATTACCAACAGAATTGAAAAGAGACCAATGGAGTATCTTTGGAGCATCCCGTATTCAAAGCTAAGTGAAGGCACACAAAACGAAACTCTGTACAAGAGCTATGCACCTTGAGTCTGCTGGCAGCATCAATAAAAACGAACTCCTACACATTCAAAGCCCTTAAAATGATTATCTAAGGATCCAGACTGCTACTGGTAATTTGGTATACCATGATTTACTGAATACCTTAATAACAGACGCAGCGGCTTGGAATGCACTCGAAGCAACCATCAATACTGGCCAAACAAATGCGATTCCTGCCAGCATCTGATTGGAGTCTGGTCCACTGCATTCCACAAGGACAAAAGCCAAAGGTAAACAAAAGCAGACTAGCATACAGAAATAGTGAGTTGCTTGATCATGCAGAACCAATTTCCTATCACTATCTATAACGGCTCATTTGCCGAAAGGATCAGCCATAGGAAGTAGCTAAGTCACGAGAAAGAAAACAGGAATATATGTTATAAGCTCTGCATGTTCCCAAACGACTCTGTCAATAGAAGTAAAATATTGTAGGTTCCCTCCAGCAGAGTGTTGGACCTTGTTACGGCTAGTACCACTCCAGCAGCCACCAGTAAGCATCCGCCTATCTGATTCATCGAGTATCTTCGCCCAAGTATGAAAACAGAGAGAGCCAACTGCCACACCAAGAAGGTCTGCAATAGAAAGGTCTTTGCTAAGCAATCTTGTTTTGCTTCTTCTACGGACGAGTGAGATCTTTGTTAAGCGATCTTCAGGATGCAATTATAACTCTACTTGTTGAAGTTGGTTAAGACATGAATTTTCAGCAAGTTACAGAACCTATTCCCAATCCATGAATC